GTTAGGTTGATAGGAGTGAACTAGAACATTAAACATATGAAGATTGCATTTTAAAGACCAAGAGGTTTGAACATAACCTGACTTAAGTAAAATTTGAAACTAACAAAACAAAGCACTGTCCATATCATCTTCTAAATCTAATTTGTAAACTATCACCGTGCATAATAAGACTTGTGAAAACGTTTTCTTTATGTAGTGTGTACAATAATTCATTTATTTTAAAACGATCATTCTGACAAAATTCTGTTGTTATCGAGATAAGCATAATTCAGTGAAGAAGGAAATAAAGTTGAAACGATGAACAATCTACCTTTACTAAGTACTCTGTTTAAAAAAGTACCGAAACTCCAAACTTATGAAAAATGTTAAAGTATACTACTGAGGGTACCCGCTCAGGAAGCAAAAACTTGTATGAAGAACAATGTTGGATAATGTTCCACATTGTTATTTCTTTTGTTATTAAATCTTTAATGACCACATTAGATGCTAACTAAATGCTTTGTTTTGTAGAATATAATAACTGACAGATTTAACTGATTAAATAGTTGTGTCTTCTAATTTAAACCAAAAAGTGTAAAAAATGTGGAAATGTTCCTTATTTCATAGTCTTTTTTTAATCCCCCTTCTCAGGCAAAAATCCTAAAACAAAGTAGACCCTGTGCACCATCGGATAATTTCCAATTACCGTGCCAAAAATTACGGTAATCAAGCCAGCTAACTCTGGGTGATGAATGCTGACACACACACACACACACATAATGAATCATTTTTATAGTAGGATATCTTTACAATCTTAATTATTAAGTAACTTTTCATACTTTTAAAGTGAGTACTTATATGTGTATTAAGTAATTTATTTGGACTATCACCACGTTTTCTTAGTTTTTTTCATGTACAAGCTTTCGGCTCAATTACCTAAGCCTTTTACAGGTGCGAGACGTAGAAGGCTTAGGTAATTGAACCGAAAGCTTGTACATTAAAAAACAACAACTAAAAAAACGCGGTGATAGTCCAACTAAAACTATATGCAGTGTATAATGTTACCCATTTTATAATAAACTATCTAGCGCGTTTGACAACACGTTATTAGATAGTTCGAAAGTACAAACAGGAACAAAACAGAGCAGCCTGCTATCTCTAGTAGCTTATAGGATGAAAGTGGTTAGTTAATACTTTGGTGAATTAAGTAACCTATCCTGTAGGATTCAGTTGGTTACAGGAACAAAACAGAGCAGCCTGCTATCTCTAGTAGCTTATAGGATGAAAGTGGTTAGTTAATACTTTGGTGAATTAAGTAACCTATCCTGTAGGATTCAGTTGGTTACAGGAACAAAACAGAGCAGCCTGCTATCTCTAGTAGCTTATAGGATGAAAGTGGTTAGTTAATACTTTGGTGAATTAAGTAACCTATCCTATAGGATTCAGTTGGTTACAGGAACAAAACAGAGCAGCCTGCTATCTCTAGTAGCTTATAGGATGAACGTGGTTAGTTAATACTTTGGTGAATTAAGTAACCTATCCTGTAGGATTCAGTTGGTTAGTTAATGTTTCGGCAGATTATAGTAATATATAAAATTAAGTTGGTTAGTTCATGCATTGGTGGGATTGAGTGAGAGTAATTTTGAAACAAAAAATATGTATATACATTGACCAGATAGTTAAAATATTGATCTTCCTTTTGCTTTAAGAAGTTTTTAGTTTGAACATTGTATATCGTCGTAGGTAAAGTGAAATTTATTTTAATGCATAAGACTTTTTAATGATTTATAAAAAAAAATGTATAGTAAGTATTTTCTATACAAAACTGTAATTTATTTTTATACTGCTGATAATGTGCTCCTAAAATGTTGACCTTGCGCAATTTAATTTCTCCCGTAGTTTAAGGTGTTAGAAATTATAGTTGTGATACTTGACATCTGTTTATTCTACACTTATATATAAAGTTTTGAAGGTGTGACTTAAACAAGATATGAAACAGGGTTCATTAAGAGCAGTTTAATTTCTGTTCTGAAAAATTAAACGGACAGTACCGCCTTTCACAAACATTACAAGTCACTCTCTCAGTTATATTACAAGCTATGACCTCAACAGTATATGATAGTAGTAAATATTTTTCTTAAACCATGAGTTTTAGCTGTTTAAGAATGGTTGGAATACGCAGCAAATATTGATTAGTTTAACTCCTTTATATCATTTCTACAATATGACTCAAGATTTAAATGATGCCTGTAAGAAATCGGGATTCAGAGTATTTTGTACAATGTGACGATTGATTATATTCCTTTAGACCGGTAGCGTTTTGAAATTTCTTTTTAATCCTAAATCAGGGAAATAATTATTTTAACAAACCATATATACACAAAACGTATATAAAAGAAGGAAAGATGCAAGCTGGTTACTAAAATTATAATTGTTACATGAAAGAGTAATTTAGCTTAGAGTTAAACCAGTCGATCTTGTAAGTTCGTCAAACATATGGTCACACGCACTTTGGATAACACAGGTTGTGATGAAAATAAATGGCAGTAACACAAAGTCATACTAAATGCTAACATCACAAAATCATGCTCAACAGTAATAACATAAAATACTTTTCGATTTTGATAACAACTAATCATATTTAATGATAATAATACTCAGTCATACTTAATAACAATAATAACATCCAGTTATACTAAATTGTAATAATACAAAATGATAAAGCACAACCATTTTAAATGTAACATCGTAACGCCTTACTTAATTGGAAAAACAGACAGACATACTAAATTGTAGTGGTTCAAAATCAGGCAATATTATGATAAAACCCAATTGTTTTTAACAGACCCCTCACAAGCCAGTGGGGGATATTTTTGTTGAAAATAAAAACTATCCAATTCGGTTTTTCTTAATTTGAACTAAAATCTTTTTGGATATTTTTATTGGCTAAAAAGAAGTCATATCCCGCACTCTTTTAGCGTTGGGGCTGCGAAAAGTGATTTGGAGTGGTAAGGTGACTGAAGTCTGTCAGCGCATCACGAGTTTAACGGCCAAGCACAAGAAGCATGGAAGTTTCCATATGATACACAGAGGTATTCAAAAATCGTTTAGAACCACCTTGGTAGATATTGTGCAGCAAACCAAGTACGATATTATGCCTGTAGCTGCTTTCAAAGTGTTCCTGTCTGCTCATCCTACTGATGACTATCGTAATGTTTCGACCTTCCCTACTGAATCGCAGGTGAAATCGTTCGTATCTCAATTGAAAGCTAAACATAAAAAGGTGATAGCAGAAGCATAAAAGGTTGGAAGTTGCTTAATTAATGATGCTTGGAATGTGGCTTTATTGATATATACTGAATTTACTCCCAGTAGGTAGATCTTAGTACTAGCTAGTATAGAGACTTGAGGATGCTGTAATTCACTTAAAAATTTATTAGTTAACAAACGAAAATTTGTCTCGAAAAGATGCGTCCAAACCTCTCCTGCTTTGGGAGTTTCCAGATTGAACTTAAATTTACTTTTCAACAAATTTTAGCGTAAAGATACCCCTTGGCTTTTGAGGGACGTGTTAAAAGATGCTGTCATCCCAAAATGTAACAACCCAAATCTAAACTAAATAGCAACGTTCCGTTTTAATGATTTGATGTTGGTAATTATTTAAGTGTTTTTTTAATTATATACATTATACATGCAATGAACACTATTTTCAGTGTTTTAACAGAAAATTAAATTACACATGAATTGTATTAGAAAAGAAAACTGACTACTTTAAGAATCTGTGTGAGAGCAAAATTATAACCTCGTGGTTAATGTGTCAGGTTGTGGATAGAGGGTCCGGGGATCGAGATGTGGTGGCAGAGAACACATTATAAATGTGACAGTCAATTCTGTTACCCAGTTCAAAGAGCCAAACAAAGCCCTTGTGGCGGCGAGTGCTACTACTTAACATTCTTCTGGTTAGGAATCTAAAATTATGGACGTTTAGGGATTTCTGACCTGATCGTTTATCCTAATTGCACATATGGTGTCTATTTGTGTCAGTGTAATCTGTTGCTACGCGCATTATGAAAGAAAGTATAGGACATGCTATGTTGCTGGTTAATGTGGCCATTAACATTAACTTCCTTAATTAAACCTTTCTCTGTACGGAGATCCGCACCGTTTTCAGGCGAGTAAAATCGACCAGGAACTCAACTGTTTGGAAGAGGGTGAATGCAGGTACCGAAACACTAAGTAGACACTATGTACCATTTTCTTTTATTTTGACAAAAGTTCAATCACGTTTATATGTTGTGGTTTCCGAAATGAAATGTTATCAAGAAATAACAGTTGTTCAACATAGCAGATCTAGACGAGATATGGTAGAAATGTCTTAGCTAATTTATGTACTTAATGTAAATTTTTATCATTATAATATTGTTTTGGGTTGCCCGAAAAAAGCGAAAGTTAGAGACCCTCGTAACTTGGTAATACTATGCTAAAAACTTGTTCCTATACGCTTTCTAACTCCTACACTTATGGAATGTTAGTTTGAAGTGGTTCTCAAGGCTGCGTGCTGCTATAAACCAATATGTATGGAATATAGTACAAAAGGAAAGCGTGCAAGATATCAGAGCACTATACAATATATTTAACCTTATCTCTCCCCCGACAAAAAAAAATGTATCTGGCTAAGATTCAACAATGTTTCACTCAGTTTAACATATTTTCTAGCATTTCTTATCAAAATTGGGCCATACAAGTTATCAGATCTTTAACCTCGAAATAAAGAAATAAAAACTGTAATTTTGTTTTCCTTCCAATTCTAAAATTTGGAATTACGTGTAATGATATACTTAAGTAAAGTTTCTCCAAGACAGTTTTCAGTAGACAAAGGCGTGTATCAAAAACTAATAATGACCTTCCCGTGCCTGCACTGTCATCGCAAGAACGTGATTTATGGGAAATTTATTATTGAAATTTTTATTTATACTGTATGAAACGGAGTATATAAGAAGCTAAAGTGTACTGGCGGTCACACTCCAATCTCAGATCCGAGAATCGAAGACAAAGCTTAAGATGAAATACCTGGTAAGAAATGCATAGATAGCGTACAACTAACTGTTTTCTCTTCGGCTTAGACGCTAGAAATATCCCATATGTCTATTTTCTATACTTGGAGGCGGTGGTGTTAAAGGTAGATTTACTTAAACACTATACAGATTCTGTTGTATGTTTACTCGCTTTATCTGGACAAGGTGATTAAATGGTGATTTATTTCTACTCTGAAAATTCGTTATTTTGAGAAGTATCTGAGTGTTGTTAATTGATCTAATATTCCCTTTATAATTGTAATTATTATAGCAAGAAAACACTTCGGTCATTTTCACAATATGTTATTGAGAACTATTTATGACGTCAGAAAAACACGTAGGTTCAAGAAGTCTTGATAGAAATGAATAAAAACCCTATAACCCGAGCGCTTTCAAAAGGTGGGATCCCAGTTTACCCCTGAAGAATAAAGGTCAACCTTTCGAAAGCGCTCGGGTTATAGGGTTTTTATTCATTTCTATCAAGACTTCTTGAACCTACGTGTTTTTCTGACGTCATAAATAGTTCTCAATAAC